AAAACAAGAAATGCTCTTATATTCTATATAACCAGAAGAAGGGCAGTCGATTGAAATAAGAAAAGTTGACAAGATTGTATTTTATTAAAAACCGAGTAAGTCGCTCTGCTGTATAGTTGATTTCAAGTGTACCTCGTAATTTGATTAAGTCACCGCAATGAATGTGGTTAATCTTAATTGTCATTTACTAAAATATTTGTGAATTATATTCTAAAAGGTTTGATTTAACCAATCAAATCATCAAACTATACTTGTCTTATATGCAAAGCAGAAAGTTTCTCACCTCTTTTTCGGTGTACTGCATTAATTTTGGAATGTACCTACATAATAAATATAAGAATGCAATGGTATTTTCGAAATGTATTATTTATGTAGATTCATGCATATGAAGAATTTTACAAAATTAAATTTCCTCAACCCGTATTTACAAGTATAAAAAAATAGGTAAGTACATTTAATAATAAACTTTTTTCATTTTCTTGATAATTATATTAAGTTGTCCTTTTGTCTGTAGGTGCTTAAATTTCTGCTTATTATATTATGGTGTATTATTTTATTTTATGTGTTCAAAAAAGGGTAAATTATTCAATTTATATACAAAATAAAACCAACAATAATTATATAGTATAGCAAATAAAATATGAGGAGAATTAATTTTAACTGAAACTATGTTGAAAGTGAAGAATTACAATAACATAGATTTGAAAATGATAATGCATTTATTTAAATTTATTAATTTAACTGATTGAAGTAAAAGTCAAATTATCATGCATAACAAATTAAAAATCTTAAAAAGAATAATTAAATTTTTAAATTTGATTAAACAAAATATTATTTTCTACAAATCACGACTGTGACAGTGGTTTACAGCGATTTACAGGAATTATTTTACGCACTCTTTCAGTTATTTTCATTTTTTTTAGTACCTATATAATACCATAGTGATACCATAATGTTTATTTGTGAAATACGTAAATTTGTTGATTTTGAATATACATATATCATGAATTATTTGATTTGAGAAGATAGTCATATCACTAAATGCTTGACAGTTTTACACTAATGGCAAAATTATACTTGTGCCCAATTAAAATTAATTATATTGTAAGTTACAACGTTGGTAATATTGAAGTAAAATTATGAGATACCTGTTTAAATCGTTACAAATATAACTCATTTAGAAAACAATAGCTGCTTTGTTTGAATCGGTTTTACTTTCTTTTTTGTAAAATTTAAATATCATGATATCGTTAAACTTATTGACTATCAATTAGGAATTAATTTAATTTATTTTTTATTTTCCTGAAAATAACTCGTCAAAGGTAACTTCTGACTATAATTTAAAAGTGTAAATGTTTGTTAGGTACTTTTAAGTACATTGCATGACAATATATCTTTTGATTCTAATTACAAAGTTTTGACTTTCGAGCATAATTTTTAATTTTAATTTATCGATTTACACACAAATAACAAATGAATGCAAAGGAATAATTTCATAAAATTTGCAATTAGGCTTGTATTGGAGTATAAAATTACCATAATGGATAAGCCAAGAGTTAAGCAAAAATGCATAAAACATCAGCGTTGTCACGAAAGGATGAACAATTTCGTAAAAATTATAGTAGATGGAGAAAAAGTTATTGTTAAAAGGCTTATATACTAATTAAAACATCTGAATAACGAAGAAGTTTGTCGTATATTTCGAGCTGCCTTAAGGATTTTCTAATGTCTTGAATGCAAAATTTTAAAAGTTTTTTTTTTCTGAAAGATGTTGGTGTAAAATGATAACTATAAAATGTCTACTAGATTTCATTGAATAACTTATCTAAAAGCCACCATGGAGCCATACGATTTAAGTTGAAATGCAAATATATAACTTTCCTGAAAAGCTTAAAAGGTAAAATGCCACAAACAAAATGCAAGTGAATCTTTCTTCTACTTTTTTAAACATTCGAAATACACTTCCGTAATAATTCAGTTGATCCCGCTTTAAAAACACTCTTTAATGTAAATACGTATGATAATGATAGCACAGATGAGTTGATTCAGTTGTGTAAATCAATGCACAAAATAAATAAACATTCGTGATTAAGTAGGTATGCACGGAAGCAAGTGAGTGAATAATGTGTATGTTACAGGATTTATGAGAGATTATATTATCATAGTTTCATCGAAAGTTTGAAACATTTAATTTTAGATGTAATATGTGTGTTATGTTTTGTATGATCAGTTTTTGGTTTACCTAATATTGTTTGATACAGAAAATAAAATTGATTCGGTCTAGTGTTGCGTGCTTGTGTTGTTAATATTTTCGTTTTCCCTAATTTTTTTTTCTAGTTTTTCTTATTATCTGAAAAAAGTATAAGATATTTTCTTCTCTACTACTTCCGTCAAATAAATCTAATTTTCCACCGGAAACATCGCTCAAAGTCGAACGTTGAAGAATTTGAACTGCGTAAAAAGGTGGCGACGGAAACAAACATTTGTACACACATCATTATAAAACAAAAACACAAATCATTGCGCCGAGATTCCGAAATTAAATATAAAAGTTACGATACAATATTGTATAATTCGAATGGTAAACCTGCATGAAAGTTTTCCCATATGCTCCGGTTAAAACAAACAGCGAGGAAAAGGCAAGTGCTGGATTGGCCACAGAGCACAGAGTCGCGGATCGAGTTTTAAAGTTGTATCTACTTTTCGGAATCTTCGTGTTGTTTTAACTCGTTTGCTCAAAATCTGTACTTTAAATGCAATATCCTAATCGAGATCTCTACCTTTCCTTATTTGTGTTGCCGTTTTTTTTTTTATTTTATTTTTTATTTTATAATGCACACGACCGTAATAATATTATTATCTTTTCGCGGTACTTTCGCCGAGGGCAAATCTGATGTCTCATCTACATGGCCGAGCTACGCTGCTACTCTTTAATTGCCACGCGAATAAAACACACACAAAACTTATGGGGGGGGGGGTCTGCTCCCGGGTTGTGGGCATTGTGCATTGCGTTTTAAAATAATTAGATTGAAAAATCGGAGCTCGAGTCTCGTAAATATGTCTGCGCAATAGTAGGTATAGGTACGTTTCGTTCATATATTTATTTTTCATTTTAACACAATATAAACGCTACCATTTGTCACACGTGTGTGCCGGTTAGAGGCTATTTATCATAAGCAGGAGACACAAATTAAAATTGTGATAAAAACAATAAATAAACTTGACTGATTTTTTTGTTTGTCTTCCAAGTCGCGAGGCCATGTCAAACGCACGTTCCTCATCGTCGTAGATTTTTTTTCCTCTCTTTTTATATTCTCTCTTTTTATTCCTCTCACAACACTCCGGAGTCCGCCACCTGGGGCTACGCCATCGGAATGCAATTAGTCGCAGTGAAACGTATTAATTGTTATGCAACGTGACTTACGTCCCAGTGTAATGATAAACAAATGATCTAATTTCAGATAAGCAGCTTATATACGGACAACTTACAGTATACGGTAAATGAGCTTATTACCTATACGATATTATTAGATTAAATCGGTAAACATTATTCTGTAAGCAAGATAGCTGATATCAAGAAAAAAAAAAACGTTGTTATTATAGAATGCTTGCTGCATTTAAGTAGCAACTAAAAAGTCATAGCCAATACTTGTAATTTATAATTATTCGTCCAATAATCGCTTTTGCACATATTTTTATTTGTAAACGGTTTCGAAGAGCTCGGAGTTCTGTTATATTTTACATTTTAGACCAAGTGATATAGTTTTAAAATTATATTATGCAGATAATCGTAGGTACTTTCTCGTTCGTGTGTATCGATAACATATTTAAACAATCCTAATCCAACCCATTAATAGGATTTATGTAATCCACATAGTCTGCTCAAGTCGTTGTCTAATTTATCCACATAGTTAATTCTATCAAAAACATGAAGATTAGCTAAACGTTTTAATAAATATAGATTTATAAAAATAATGTCTATTTATTTAAGACATGTATTAGTAAGTCTTTTTAATTGAGTAGCTTAACTAATCTTCTACCATTTAAGCAGCCTTACTATTTATGTATTTTAATAATATGTAGACAATTTAAACATTTTAACTAATAAAATACTATATTAAATTTTTCAATTTAATAAATCAAATGTTTTAATTATGATTATCATTAACTACTTTATTTATTTTATGATTTAGGTATAATATACTTAATTAAATTATATAGTTAAGATATTGGATACAATGTGTTTTTATTAAAATTGTAATATATTTTATTTTACATATTAAAATATATATCAAACCGAGGGAGTTTATCAATTCAATGTTTATACAAATCAGTTTTTTATTACTTAAAGACTATATTTAAATGCATAAATGGGGATATTTTAAGAGTCTAAAAATAAATATTCACACCTAAAAGTAATAGTAGGTATTATATAGTGTAATGATATGGATATATTACATATATTATTCTGACGATTACTGTTATGATATTATCATGTAATATAATAGGTAAAATATTATATTGTTGTAATACATTTAAATTTCGCGAAATTAACTATAAACACTATTTAGACATTAAAGATAATATACATATCGGAACTTTAATGCTTAAATGTTCATTGAAAAATGTATTGTCTTGTCATGGTATAGATCAATTATAATAATCGTTTAAGTACATCAAAAATATAATTACTCTGATGGTGGAATTATATAAAACGTATTAGCATAGGCGTAGCGTGATGATTTTTTTTGGGGGGGCTATAGCCTTTTTTTTTTGTGGTATCAACGACGCTGCCGAAACTGCTTGCGAATCACTTTGTATAAGGGCTATAATGATTCAGGTACAGAACATAATATTATATTCTACAAATATAACTATAGAAAAATATAAAGGAACAAAATATTAAAAGGACTAAAGAAGCACATTATTAAGTAAAATATAAATAAATAATATACCATACATCATATTATTATCAAATACATATTTTGTATTTGAATTAAATATTTTAAAAAAAAAACATTTTAAATAGGAAATTATTACTAATTACTATATTGTAAGGTTTAAACGCCTGCTTTTTTGCGCAAATATATTTAGAACCTCTTCAGATGTTATATTATTAGCTAAGTCCCTTTCAATATGAAGTAATGATAGATTTGAAAATCTATCGTTAGACATAGAATTTCGTAGCCATGTTTTTATTCGCCGCATTACCGAAAATGATCTTTCACAAGAAGCAGAACTTACTGGAATTGTAAGTGCTACTTGTAAAAGCTTGTATAAATTTGGAAAAATTTTTTTGTTGATTTCTGATACAAGAGCATCTATGTCAAAATCATCTTTATTAATACAGTTCTTCATAATTAGCATTTCAGCTTTAAGTTGGTCTTTCTCAATACATAAAGCATTCTAAAAACAAAAACCTTATATTAACATTAATATAATGTATTTTCATGTATTTTACTAACCTCGTAATGTTCAATAAAATGTAAACTTTCATCATATTTTAACTTCATAAAGTTATCAATACTATGTCCAATTTTCAAGCTTTCTGTTGAAAATCTGCTTCTCAAACCTGATAAAACACAGTCAAGTATCCTAAAATAACCATTAACTTTCCAATATTCAAACTGGGTGTCTTCATCATTCATTCCTTCATTGAGTTCATCTACATTAGCATAAGAACATTCAGCACCAGTAGTATTACTAACATAATAGTTTTGTAAATTTGTTGTTTCTTTTCTTTTACGTTTGGAACCTGTGAAGTATCAAATTAAATATATAAAGATATATTATAAACATAAAATACTTCAACATAAATCCTCAATTAAGGTTAAAAACTATCTTTTCGTTCTAATATAAAATATAATTTATAAATATTTTTAAATAACATTTAGCTGGAATTTCTAATGAAATGTTGAACTCTTTAGCCAATGCTATAACTTCTGTCCACACAGTTTTAAATTTTTCTGAGCAACGGTCATTTTCAAATGTTTTTATAATACTATTGATTAAATTTACTGATTTTCCCAAAGTTGCTTTTTTCTCTTGCATTAGGTTACTAAGAATATTGATTTTTGTTAAAATATCTTCAAGTATAATTAAAAATAGTATAAAATGTCCTTTTTTTATCATAGCTTCAATTCCTTTTTAATTAAAAATAAAATAAAATGTTAATAACAACAAAATTACAATAAAATATCAAACAGATTATATACCTATTGCTTGTGCTACATCTAGATTACTATTAGCATCAATTTCTTCTCTCAAAACCTCTAGTATCACTTCAAAATTATCTTTAACAGCTTTACAGTTTTTATACCTGCAAACCCAGCGAGTATCAGAAATTCGAATAATAGAAGATGCTTTAATGTCCATTTTTAATTGCATATCTTTTAGTTTTTTATTTGTAGATGGTCGTGAGAAATATACGTATAATGCTTCCAGACTGTTAAAAAAACTTTTTGCATACTAAAAACAAAACAAAGAATTTTAGAGAAAATAATTAATTTATATTTTATATATTTCAACAAAATTACCTCAACATTCTTGCACATGTCTACTACAACTAAATTTATTCTATGGGCCATGCAATGCGTATAAATAGCGCATGGGTATCGTTCAAGAAGTTTACTCTGGACACCATTTCTTTTACCACTCATAACACTCGCTCCATCGTAGGACTGTGCAAATATTGGTATATTTCCCAAATTTGAATGCTCAAGAAATTGAAAAATAGTATTAACAAGTGTCTGTGCATCTTGTTTTTCAGACACATAGTTTCGGTTTTCTATAATTTCTTTTTTATTTTGTGCTGAAACTTGTGTTACTACACTACCAATAGATTTCGCACTTAAATATCCAGACCAACTTGCCATGCATTTTAAATGACATTTTGATTTTTCATGACTCATTAACTTGGAACCATTACCACTTAGCTAAACATGAGAAACAAAAATTAATAGTTAAATACAATATTATGTGCAATAAAAAATTACAATATTACTTTTTTCCAATTTCTGAATCCAGTTTTTGTAAAAGTATTATCAGCTATGTAAATATTATTTGTATTAAAAATTCGGCAACAAAAACAAAACACAGCATCAATTTTAATGCTATACTCTAACCATGAATACTGATTAAAATAGCCATCTGAAAATGATCGATTTTGCTTTCCAAAAAGTGTTTTTGGATAGTTCTGAAAAATAGTAATTGTGAAAAAAAAAATAAATGTGAAAACTGAGTAGTTTTATTAATTAAGTACATATACCTTATATTTATTACATTTTAATTTATGTAATTAAATTTAGTATTAATTTACTAATTAATATTTTAAACGTAATACTAAATTATAGATACTATAATATGTTCTATGAATAATTTTTATATTTTTCAGACAATTAATTAAAATTTTTAGATAACACAATTAAAAAGTATAATATCATTAATATCTTGTATTATCTATTGTATAATTAATAAAAACTATAATATAATATTTACTTTTAAAATCGGTTGTTTTGGTCCAGAGTCTAAAATTCCAAGATCTAATTTTAAAGTTTTTACATCACTTGAGTCTATACAAGTGGATACAATTAGTTTTCCTCGACTGGATTCTTCCTCTGCGCTGTCAACACTATTAAAACTTGGATTGTCTTCTTCATATTCTTCATCAGCATGTTTATCAAGATCACTAGTGGTCTGAATGGCATTTTTAACGGGTGGGTTATTAATCGTGGTCTTTACTTTATTAAATTTAAATATACTAAACATCGCGATCTTTAAAACTTGCGGGTATTTAAAAAAAAATATTTTATGTTTAAATGCACTTTAAGAAAAACTGAACGTAAGTACGTAAGATGAGATTATGAGAACACGGTGAAAACTTATTTTGCTATAAAATAATCAGAGTATATAGTATAGAGTATAGACTGTAGTTAATAGTTATACCATTATACTGTTTAGTGTTTACTGTTTACAGGTTTGGCGGATTTACCATTAACGAATACTCTCGTATCGTCAACGCTGTGTTATCGCTGTCTATTTTTAACCTAAACAGTAAACACTATAAGTATTTTTTCCAGAAACATCGATGGACGGCGATAACGTCATTATAATATACTAATTTATAATATAGAAGATAGAACTAGGTATACAACAAAATATAATAATTGTTATTGATGTCGAATGTCGATATGATATTGTAGGTAATGTATAAATAAATGAATAATTTAAAATTTGAATTATCAAATAAAGTATTCTTCGGATATCAAAATAAATGATAGAAAATGTTTTCAGTTCCCACATATGGACGTATAACTGTATAAGACAGTAAACTATTTCACAAAAATTTCTGGGGGGGCTTAGTAGAATTCTGGGGGGGCTATAGCCCCCTTAGCCCCCACCATTCTACGCCTATGCGTATTAGCAGGCAAAAAAACTATTGCCTATACTCTATATTATATACTAATTTAGCATAACAAATATTTTTAAGTCGTAGATTTACCCAGGCTCAGTCATGGTTCTCTCACGAGTTACGACTCAATAGTGTCGAAATTCCTTTTTTAATTTTTTTATTGAGTTAGTAATAATTGACTTTGTGCAATATTTAAAACATTGTATCTTATTTAATATTAAATGTATCCTCATTCTACTTCATTTTATATTTTATTTAATATTTTACATAGTCTCATTACACGAGAAACACTAATTTAATATAGTATATTCTTTTTATTCCTTAAATTAAAATCCTAATCCTATTGCAAAAAAACTGTTGTTCTCACCTAACCACCTTCAAAACAAATAAAATAAAGCGTATTAGTAAGTGATGAGTTTAAAATATCAAATAAACTTATCAATATCATATGCATAATCAAATCATTTATTTTTACAAAATTAACTTATTATTTCACTTTTATAACGCTGAGAAATAATACTAGTTTCCTGAGTTTTCGCCGGTTTTAGGTACGTCTATAAAAATTACAACAACAATGTTTAGATTTAAAAAAAAAGCATTGAGATAAAAGTAATTGAATGTCAAAAAAGGGAATTCAAAAATTAAACTCATAATTACAATTTGATTGCAGCGAAGGGTTAGGGTAGTATATTTTATATAAATCTTTAGGCTAGTGCAAATTTTTTACCAGGAAACTGATATATTTCATTTTTCTGACAGTATCCATTTTATTATCGTGCAACGTCAAAGTAGTACGATAAAAATGTGTTTCTTAGTCAGGAAAAGGTTAATAAAAAAACGAGAGAAAGCCGTATTTTCTTTTAATAAAGTGCCAACGTATAATATCCTAAAACACTCACCAGTTATATGATACAATGATAAACGTATTATTTTTGGCATGCCAACGAAATATATAAATATACATTGGTTCCACAGTAAATCCTGAGTAGAATAAAATTATTTATTATGAAACTAAATTAAGTTTTTTAAACTTCTGTTTTGATTTAATTGTTTTTATTGGTCTATCAAGATTATTTATATATATTGTTTAGTTTAAAATAACTCATGTGATTTCAAAGAAGAATTATTAGTATAAGATAAATAAGGAAAGACATTACAATATTAAATATTGTATTGGACTTACAGTAGCTGATATAGTTGGAAAACAGTCTTGTAAAAGATACTTTTTGAAAGGGTTCAAGTACAGTTACAGATATTTATTAGTTATTTTAAAAGTATTAGAGTATGAATACAAATACTTTCCAATTCCGTCAAATACTCTCAATTTTTTTATTAATATTTTTTTTACCTTTTAAATCAACAGAACCAATTATCATGTTTTACATTAATCTTATAGATAATTTTACACTTTATCATTTAATATAAGTATCAAAATGCACACAACTATTTTTTTGGTTAAGTATTAGAATTTTCAGATGAGTAAAATGCATAAAAAAAAAATAAACGATCCTATTTTCTTAGACGATTAAGATTAAAATGAAAACAGAAAATATATAAACATTAAACAGTAATGATAAGTATTCAAAAATTAGTATTTGATTTTAAATACAGATACTTTGACACTTTGAGAAAGTATTTGAATACTTTTGCTCAAATACCTTTTTCCAAGTACTTTAGGTGACTATTGGATAGCAGGGTAAAACTAAAGGTTTGGAGATTGTTTTTAAACTGTTTCTTAGATTTATTTCTATAACACTGTGGTATACCATGGTGAATGATTATTAATCTTAATGTCATTTTCATCCCTTTTTAAAAACAATTCAGAAATGACCAATATTGTACTTATATTTTATGTTTAGTTTGGGTATTATTTATTATTAAGTGACTATGTTCTAAAAATTTTAAAAGTAGTACTCATTTAATCCAAAAAAATATAAAATAATTAGTTCATAATAATAATAATAATAATTGTGTATAAGGTATAATAAAATCGTTATATTTTGTAATGTTTGGGTTGATTCACAGTTATTATTATCGATTTACATAGGTTTGTGTTTGTGGTAGTCGTTTTATAGGTACAGTGTACACTTAACATAATGTCTATGAATTCAAAGTTACGAACTTGCGATGTCAAACGTGGAGGATTTCCTATAAGTGACTCGATAAATCACCCCAATAACATTCTCTTTTGGTTGGGTTTTAAATTTTAATGTGTGCCAAAAATAACCAGGGGATAAACTTAACTTTGAGGTTCACTCAATCGCAGTATGGATAGTAGGTGGGTATAGTTGTTAACTATTTTTGTGCGCAGTCGAATTCGTAATAGAAAGGGATTTTATGCAAAGCCATACAACGAGGGTAAGAAACTTTATTTTCTATAGTAGTTTTGTATTTCTTTCAAAGAAATCTGTCAGAAAAAAGGAAAAGGGATGAACACATATTAGATAACGAGAATCGGAACAGTAGGTACCTAATACAAGGGAAGCGTCTTATTATAATGACAGTTGTTTAGTTGATTTCGTTGACAATGCATTTGCATTTAAACTAGCACGAACGTGTACAAAACATGAAGTTTTTTTTAAGTATAACTCTAAATGTACGGATTTAGTTTCGAATATTGAACGACAGTATCTATTCAATTTTTTAAGTTTTTTTTTTTTAAACACGAAAAGCTATCGCGATATAATCGTGTATAATTATCAATTTATACACCCTGGTAAAATTTTTCTTTTTTATTTATCAATTTTTTTATTGTTTAACGACTATCGCCGTTAGTCCATATTTCCTCCGGTTCACTAAGCCCATGTCATGCACGGAGTAGCATTACTACAAATAACTCGGCACCCGTTGGCGAGGTGTGGCTCGTCAGTTCTATAGTTACCTGCCGAAAATCGATTTTTATTTTGACGAGCAGCGTCGATGTTACCGTGACTCGTGTCGTTAGTACGTAAATAATCGCACTGTATAAATGCTGGATGGCATAGGTGCTATGTCATAGACGTTGGTACTGTACCTCAATACAATTTCAAACGATGCTGAGTCTTCGCACAAAATCAGTGATCAGAGACGTACGACGTGACTCTCAGGATGGTGTGCGACACGGAAAACCGGTACTGGAGGTCTTAGATACATTTCACAATGATTTCGGAAATTCAGAAGCAAGCAACCTACAATATTTTGTAACTTTACAACTGAATGTTATAAAAGCGTCATGTGAAGTAAAGTATGAAAATTATTAACAGTTTTAAAATTCAAACAAAAATCATAACCACTATCAGATAGATATAGAACCACCTGCAGATTGATTAAAATTTACGATATGTGCACGAGACCTACACAATTTGAGGCAGATACTTTCTAAAAACATGTCTACATATAGATTTTCCTCGTCTAATAAATGTTATTAAAAATATTTTTATTTTTTTTTAAATTCGCGCACACAGTGAAAACACTGAAAAGAGGGCATGGAGGGAAATGCAAAAAATAATAATTTATATAATAAATACAATGTGTATGGATCTATTATATTAATTACACATCATATATTCAAATTATCATGGGTACAACAGGCGTACTCGTTATAGATTATATTATACTTGTCTGTGGAGTATGGACTTACTGATTTAAAATCATTAAGACATGAAATACGGTTGATTGGTGGGAGGGCATGGCCCCTCGGCTCCCGGACTAGGCCACTTTACACACGCGTGTACGATAATATAATATGATGTGTTTATTTAATGCTACGTAATTATTAGTGGCACTTGGAATAATGCTTTGGGTACGGCACATTCATTCGGAGATCAAGTGCACGCGCACCGTCTGCACTTTGGTCGATCTGGGCCCGCTGGACGACGACACATTGTAAACGTTTATTTTTTAAAAAACATTAGTACCCGTCGGTACGGATTGAATGTCTCGGGTACAACTATAGCACATTATTTAAACGAGCAGATAAATATGTTTATTGTTTGTACATTAATGCATTCTATAATAATTGCACGTACTATACCTGTATACAAACGCCGGACGTCCATCACTAATTGCATCGCTCGGCGGCAGTAGTCTAGCCTTAGACTGCACCGTATTCGTTAAAATATATGAGCTGTGCAAATATTGTAGGTTCTAACCAAAGGGTGTAGTGCTGTTTTATACCTTTGCATCTTTTTATCTCTAGTTTTATTTACTTATTCACTTCTCTCTTCCCCGCTCTGTTCGTGCTTATTTTTTTTTTTTTTATCAGATTCAAACTGATTGCGCCCGTTTGAATCCTTCATTATGCCAAATATTGTCTGGGTGTACTGGGCGTGCAATCGTATTGTAAATAAGGCGGGTTCGGATCTACGCTGCAAATTGACTCCGAACCACTACTGCTTCCACCATCCGATGCTCTGTATAGCCGAGCGCTTTTGTTTGCTCTCGGTAGTAGGCATTGCACATATTGTGTATTGTTTTCCACTGCGACGACGTCATTAGGTGCTGTTGGATCGCACTTACTGGGTTTTCGAAATTTACATAACCATTTTCATCATCATCGCTGGCACCCAATAAAGGCGTCTTTTGAGAAGCG